AAAAAGAAAAAAAAAAAATGAACAGACTTTAGAGAGTTAAGAAGACAGAAGGCATTCCAGGCAGGCATAATGGCACTAAACAGAAATGCAATGGTGGATTAGAGCAAGACATATTCCTGGACAGTAGATACACCAATTTAATTGTAAGTGTAGTGTTTGGGAAGAAAATGGCAGGAACCAAACACAAAAACCCACAAAGATTGTGCAGGGGCTAAAAAAGCCAGACTAATGAGTTTGAAATGATTCTTGAAGAAGATTGGGGTGCTTTTGAAGGTTTATGATCCTGAGTGACAAAGGCAAACAATTTCTCCCATGTCCCAGGTTTTCCTCAGCACCAGGAGAGGGACTTGGCTCTTGAATCGTGTAGGAGACAATGGATATCCTTTTGATGGGTTGTTATCTAATCGACTTAAACATTTTATGTCGAAGATCTGTGGCCAGTCATTAGCAAACATGTATTTGGAAAGAAGGATGAACCAAAGGTTTGACCATGAAATGTTTGGCCTGAAGCCTAAACACAGGTATGTCCCCAGGATGGGAGTGCAGGGGTAATGTCCAAAGCACAAGAATAAGGACTATTCACACTTGCTAATAGTAGAGCTACCTCTACCCATACATTAAGAAAACTCATAGTGGCCGGGCATGGTGGCTCATGCCTGTAATCCCAGCACTTTGGAAGGCCAAGGAAGGCATATCATCTGAGGTCAGGAGTTTGAGACCAGCTTGGCCAACATGGTGAAACCCAATCTCTACTAAAAATACAAAATTAGCCAGGCATGGTGGCACCTGTCTGTAGTCCCAGCTACTCAGGAGTCTGAGGCAGGAGAATTGCCTGAGACCTGGAAACAGAGGTTGTAGTGAGCAGAGATTGTGACACTGCACTCTAGCCTGGGTGACAAGGTGAGACTCTGTATCAAAAAAAAAAAGAAAAGAAAAAAGAAAACCTACAGACCCATAGACTCTGAAATCAGATTTCTACTTTGTACCCACAGATGTCCAAGATCTATTGGTCTGTGGGTTTTTAGTCTAGACTTCTCTTTGGCATTAACCCTTTGCTCATTCCCCCAGGTATCAGTTTTTTTACATGATGCCCGACAACAAAATGGTAGCTGAGGGCGCTGCATCATTTACTCATTGAGTACCTGTTATGAGCCAGGTATCATACGTGGGCATGAAATGCAGAGAGAAAAGACATAATAGTAATGGCAATAGACATTACACTCACCTTTCTGAGAACTTTCTACAAGATAAACATAATGCTAAATGAGTTACAGGCAGTATCTCACTTAATCCTCACAATAGCCCCATAAGTTGGTACTATTTTTGTTTCATAGTGAGGAGGTCTATGCAAACCTACCCCAAAGGCTGAGGAAGCTGAGAGGCTGAAGAAAGAAGCTGACAAATTCAGTGTCTTAGGAACATTTAATAGGGACTTATGAACAGAAGCCACGTCTGTGTCTCAGGCAGTGGGGAGACAAGATGTTAGATCCCCATACCATTATCTCCTGACCCAGGATATAATGTGCCTTATATACTATAAGGGAGGGGCACACATACTTCAGAGAGAATGGACAGGAGTTTGCCCTACAGGGGGGATTAAAGGTAAGTACATGCTCTTAAACAACGGAGTAACTGGAAATCTCAGAGGTATTCCTGGAACTGAGGTTGATCAGAAGTCAATATGGTAGATTAGCGTCTAAGATGGAGTTGCTTTGGCCTCCACAATTTTCTATCTACATTTTACAAATATAAAAATTAAGACATAGAGAAACTAAGTAATTTTCCTGAGGGCAACATGAGTAATAAATGGCAGACTCAATAAATGGATCTTACCTTAAATACTCTAATAAGAAAGAGAACTGAGTATAATAAAGAAATACACAGAGTGCTATGAAAGTTGAGGGGCCAGGGAGGGAAAACATTTCTAGAGGCTGATTCTAAATTTATTTTACCTCCAACTTTTAATTTTTTTAAATGTTCAGACCTATACAAAAGTTGCAAAATAAGAAGTACAATCAGCACCCATATACCCTTCACCTGGATTCACCTGTTAACAGGTTGCTGTATTTGCTTCCTCTGTTTCCCCCTCTCTGTAGATAGATCCACACATATAGAGCATACATACACAACTACATTTTTTTTCTGAAACCATTTGGGTACGTTGCAGTCATTAAGACACTTTAAATACTTCCGTGTATATCATATAAGAAAAAGGGCATTCTCCTACATAACCATCATATAATTATCACACTTGGGAAATTTAAAATACATTATCTAATACATTGGCAATATCCACAGTTGCCCCAATAATATTTTATATGGCTTTAAAAAAATCTTTTTAAATCTAGTATCCTGTCAGGTAATCAATCACACCATTACATGTAGTTGTCATGTCTCTTTAATCTCTCTTAATCTGAAATAATTCTCTCTTTGACCTGGGCTTCCTTTTTAAGAGCCCAAGGCATTGTTTTGTAGAGTCTCTCAATTTAGACTTGCATTGTTTTTTTCCTTTATTATATTCAGGTTAAATGTTTTTGACATACAGACTACATAGGTGACGATCTCAGTGGGTCACATCAAGAGCCACATGAGGTCAGTTTATCCCACAGTAATGATGCTAAATTTGATGACTTGTATAAGGTGGTATAGATACCACCAAGTTTCTCCAGTATAAATATATTTTTCTCTTTGAAGTTAATCAGTGGGGTGACATTTGGGAGACTGTGTTTCCCAAAAACCTTTCACCTAATTATTTTAGCATGCATGTTTTTGGTGGCTGCAAAATAAATTGAGGCTTTGTTGAAGACAGGAGATAGCCAAACAAATAGAGTAGGGGAATAGCATTCTAATTATAGGAACAAAGTCTTGGAGGAGCAAAAAATACCTGCATGTGGTCTGGTATGGCTGGACTATATAGCAGATGGAAGAGAGTGACTGAATGCATGTCCAGGTTCATCAGGCATGAAAACCTTTGCTCTGCTAAATAAAAAGTATGGAATGAAGACAGTCCAAAGCCATTCCAAGATTTAGGCAATGGAGTTACATAATAATAAATACATTTTAGAATGACCATTTTGAAAACAGTGTGGGAGTGGGATGGGACAACAGGTCCTAAAGACAACGGTATCATCCATCTGAGATAAAGAGTAGATCAAACTATTCTGGGGATATAAGAGGAGAAAGGGAAAAGGCTTGGTCACTAGATATAAGACTCATGGTTGGCCGGGCGCGGTGGCTCAAGCCTGTAATCCCAGCACTTTGGGAGGCCGAGGCCGGTGGATCATGAGGTCAAGAGATCAAGACCATCCTGGTCAACATGGTGAAACCCCGTCTCTACTAAAAATACAAAAAATTAGCTGGGCATGGTAGCGGGTGCCTGTAATCCCAGCTACTCAGGAGGCTGAGGCAGGAGAATTGCCTGAACCCAGGAGGCGGAGGTTGCGGTGAGCCAAGATCGCGCCATTGCACTCCAGCCTGGGTAACATGAGTGAAACTCCGTCTCAAAAAAAAAAAAAAAAAAAAAAAAGACTCATGGTTTTCTGGGTTGGGCAACTGTATGGATGGATGGTGGTATTGCTGGTGAAAAGGGGTAAGTTTGGAGAAAAAGATGAAATCATGAGGTTGGAATGCAGAACACAGTCGACCTAGTGTCACACCATAACTAAATGCAACAAACCAATAGTGGTAATTTAAATATATAAAATTCCTGAGGCCAGTTCAGCTCTGAAGTTGAGTTCACTTAGTATTCAGGCAGTAAGACTGTTTTTCAGGCCAGGTGCTGTGGCTTGTGTCTGTAATCCCAGCAATTTGGGAGGCTGAGGAGGCTGGATCATGAAGTTAAACGTTGGAGACCAGTCTGGCCAACATGTGAAACCCCATCTCTACTAAAAATACAAAAATTTGCATTTTAGGCATGGTGGCGTGTGCCTGTAGTCCCAGCTACTTGGGAGGCCGAGGCAGGAGAATTGCTTGAACCTGGGAGGTGGAAGTTGCAGTGAGCCAATATTGTGCCACTGCATTCCAACCTGGGCGACAGAGTGAGACTTTGTAGAAAGTCTCTAAATTTAGACTTGCACAGTTTTTTTTCCCTTTATCATATTCAGGTTAAATGTTTTTGACACATAGACTACACAGGTGATGTTGATCTCAGTGAGTCACAGCAAAGCCACATGATGTCAGTTTATCCCACAGTAACGATGCTAAATTTGATCACCTGTATAAGGTGGTATAGATAAGGTGAAAAGGAGTAGGTCTTTTTCTTTCTTTTTTTTTTTTTTTTTTTTAGACGGAGTTTTACTCTTGTTGCCCAGGCTGGAGTGCAATGGTGCGATCTCGGCTCACCGCAACCTCCGCCTCCTGGGTTCAGGCAATTCTCTTGCTTCAGCCTCCCGAGTAGCTGGGATTACAGGCATGCGCCACCATGCCCAGCTAATTTTTTGTATTTTTAGTAGAGACGGGGTTTCACCATGATGACCAGGATGGTCTCGATCTCTTGACCTCGTGATCCACCCACCTTGGCCTCCCAAAGTGCTGGGATTACAGGCGTGAGCCACCGCGCCCGGCCAGGAGTAGGTCTTTTTCAAAAAAAAAAAAAAGAAAAAAGAAAAAAAGACGGCTTTTTAGAAAGATCCATGACACTGGAAACCACCCTTATTATTAAAAGAAAGTAGCGGGAGGCCAGGCGCAGTGGCTCACGTCTGTAATCCCAGAACTCTGGGATTCCGAGGTGGGTGGATCACGAGGTCAAGAGATCAAGACCATCCTGGCCAACATGATGAAACCCTGTCTCTACTAAAAACACAAAAATTAGCTGGGTATGGTGGTAGGTACACTCCTGTAGTCCCAGCTACCCAGGAGGCTGAGGCAGGAGAATCGCTTGAACTTGGAAGGCAGAGATTGCAGTGAGTGGAGATTACGCCACTGCATTCCAGCCTGGTGACAGAGCAAGGCTTCGTCAAAAAAAGCAATTACTTTTGCACCAACCCAGTGTTTCCAGTAACTGTGTCCTGTGCTGTCCCTAGGAAACAGTAACAGGCCGAAAGTACCCCCAAGATAATTCATTGAAAACAACTTTGAGATAAATTCTAAAATCCTAGGCTGTGTAACATTGGACAAGTCATGTAACTTTTCTAGACCTCAATTTCCTCATTTATAAAACCTGGATGACACCTATTCTACTTCCTTCATAGAGTTTTGAGAGAGTCAAATAAGTTAATGCATGTAAAAGCAACTTATAAAGTGTCAATTGCTACATAACACATAATTTGTTATACATTTTGGAAAATAGTGGCCTAAACCTACCTCTTGAGCCTTTGAAACTGGAAATGAGACTGAACAGAATGTTGACAGTTTACTTCTGTCAGGCTTCTTGATATGAGTATAGAAACTATTGGCCTGTGGCCTTATCATATCATGTACAGAACATTACTGTAACTTGAGAAATCATACATGCACTCCTCAGACAAGCCTCTTCTTCCTTCACACCTCCAACACTCTCCCTTTCAGTGCCATCCAGGGTCCAACTTCAGCTCTGATCTTGATCTGTGCCAAGCTAGTGTAAATGAGACCTTTCCCAAACTTTATGCATTGACCAAGGTGAAGATTATTGGCATATTGTTTACCTCCACCAAAGCAAAATTTTACTTACATGGTACTGATTTCTCTCTCTCATTTCTCCTTCACTTGATCTTTACCACCACTCACAGAGCTCTGAGTCAGCATCCAACCGTAAATGATGACCTGCCAAATCGTATCATCTCCGGCCTGGTGAAAGTGAAAGGAAACGTGAAGGAATTCACAGAGACAGCTGCCATATTTGAGGATGGCTCCAGGGAGGATGACATTGATGCTGTCATCTTTGCGACAGGCTATACCTTTGCCTTTCCTTTTCTGGAAGATTCTGTCAAAGTAGTCAAAAACAAGATATCCTTGTATAAAAAGGTCTTCCCTCCCAACCTGGAGAGGCCAACTCTTGCATTCATAGGCTTGATTCAGCCCTTAGGAGCCATTATGCCCATTTCAGAGCTCCAAGGACGCTGGGCCACTCAGGTATTTAAAGGTAAGTGACCATGCAAATAGACTACTTAATTAGTTGTGCTATGTTTACCTCTGTTTAGGTACTTGTTTTTAAATAGCTACAGACAGCATGTATGATTACAGCAGTGCCTAGCACAAAGTTGGTACAGAGAAATCTATTTTTGAGTGAATCTAAAGTAGCAATTTATAACCATGGACATACATCATACCTGGGAAAGTTTTCCAAGCTATGCATGCTTTGACACCATCCTTGTTGATGCTTATTTAGCAAGTCTGGGGTGGGGCAGTTATAAAATCTTTGAGAAAAATGTTCCCCAGTGATTCCAATGTGCACTCCAAACTAGAATTTACTCATCTAGATTTTAGGCAACTGGCATATATTTGTGAAGTAAAATAGTTTTATCTTCTTTCATTATAGATACAATAAAATATAGAAATGGTATGACTTGATTTAAGCCAAAAATTAAGACCTGGTTGGAGACTAGTTTATAATGTAGGGTAGTCAACCTCCCAAATTCTGTTTCCCTTTATTTTCCCTCTTTCAGTTTTGGCTGGGAGTACATGAAAAAAAAAAGGCGGAGTAGGTTTAATATGAGTCAGTAGAATGATATAGCTTCCAAAGAAATAATTAAATCTAGCATCATTAAAAACTATAATTTTTTTTTTTTTTTTTTTTTTTTTTTT